CAGCCCCGTTATCGATCATCGGGGTTATCGATCCTGTTATCGATCATCGTTATCGATCCTCCTTATCAGCCCCGTTATCAGCCCCGTTATCGATCCCCGTTATCGATCCTGTTATCGATCATCGCTATCAGCCCCATTATCGATTCCTGTTATCGATTCCCGTTATCGATCCTGTTATCGATCTATGATAACGTTATCAGCCCCGTTATCGATTCCCGTTATCGATCCTGTTATCGATCATCGCTATTAGCCGCGTTATCGATTCCTGTTATCGATTCCTGTTATCGATCTATGATAACATTATCAGCCCCGTTTTCGATCCTGTTGTCGATCATCGCGGTTATCCATCGTGTTATCGATCATCGTTATCGAGCCTGTTATCGGTCCTGTTTCGATCATCGGGGTTACCGATTCTATTATTGATCATCGTTATCAGCCCCGTTATCGATCCCCGTTATCAAACCCCCGGGTTCGATCGCCGTTATCGATTCTATTATCGATCATCGTTATCAGCCCCGTTATCGATCATCGTTATCGATCCTGTTATCCATCGCGGTTATCAATCCTGTTATCGATCATCGCTATCAGCCCCATTATCGATCCCGGGTATCGATCCTCCGTTATCAACCCCCGGTATCACCCTCGGGATCGATCACGGTTATCGATCGTGTTATCGATCCCCGCTATCAGCCCCGTTATCAACCCCCGCTCGGGACACCCGCGCGGGGACATCGAGGGGTGACCCAGGACAGGAGAGGGGACAAAACCCCCCCGCCGTGTCCCCGCCGTGCCCCCGCTGTCCCCGCTGTCCCCACTGTCCCCGCTGTCCCCGGCCATGCTGCGGGACGAGGACACCGAGGCGGATTTCCAGCGCTTCCTGCGCCGTGTGGACGATGTCAGTGAGTGCCCGGCGGGGACGGAGCGATGGGAAAGGGGAGGATTGGGGAAAAGAAAGTGGAAAATTGATAAAATTGATGGGGAAAGAGGCAAATTGCCGCTGGTCCCCGTTGGGTTTATTCAGGATTTCCCTGGAGCTGCTGAGAGCCGCTTTCTGTTGCGCATTTCCATAATGTTGACAGAAACTGCAGGCGACTCCTGAAAGCGACTTTGTCAATGTTTCTGTTTATTTAAAGTGTTCCAGGCCACGTTGGGATCTGAGCTTCTGGTCCTGCCACGCTTGAAGTCCTGTGTATATATATATATAATTTTTTTTTCTATATCTTTTTAGCTAATTTGCTGCAAGGCCTGAACTCCCCCGACTCGGCTGTCAAGGAAAAAGCCATCGCTGAGGCAGAGAAAAGGCTCSGAGAGCAAGGAGCCAGCAGGGAGGAGGAGGAGAGCAGAACCCCGGTGAACAGAACAGTCATCAACACTTCTGTAAGGGCTTTTCCCTCTGAAACGAAAGCTGCACCCAGTTCAGATCTTGCTTCATTAAAGACACGAATGGAAGCTTTCCAAGAATGTCAAARTTTATCAAATCCGCACCATCCTTTGTTTAAATGTCAAACGGATGCTCCTTCTGGGTGTCAGTCTGGATATTTCAGATGCACCCAGCTATTCCTGGATGTAGCTTTGTACAGCCCAGCCCCGTGTTCTTTGCTGCCGTGGCTTTTCCCAAAATATTCCTGCTGTGTTTGTGTTTTTGCAGGGCACGGCRAGGGCAGAGGCAGTGGATGCAGGTAGGACAGTGCTCCTGTTAATCTGTCACAACTCTAAAACCAGTTTTAGCAGAACCTGATTCCACCCCTGCCAAAAAAAAAGCTGCATTTTGTGGTGGCTTTAACCACAATTCAGATGTAGGAACACACTCCAGCTCTGACCTGCACGCTGTGTTTTTCACAGGGAGGAGCTTTTTCCTATTCTGGCTCCTCACCTGAGCAYTTTTTATTCTGAATTCCAAAGCAAACAGATTTGTTTGCCCCTGGAGAGGAGCTGCAGCAAGGCAGGTGTGCAGATCCTCGGTGGTGGCATTGTCATCGTCGGTGACAGCTTGTCAGCCACGTTCCACTTCAATGCTGAAATGTCCCCTTTGTGGTTTTTTTTTATTTTTTTAATTAAGAAATGACTCAGAAACACCCTGGGATTTTTTATTTCTCTATTTTAATGAAGTTTTCTCTCTTTTTTTTTTTACTTTCTCTGAAATGCCACCAACTGTGGTGGCTGAAGATGGCTTCCTGGCAGCTTTGGAAAAGGATGCCAAAGAACGAGCCCAGCGAAGGAAGAGGAACGGGCAGTTGGCAGATGGTGATTGCTGAAAGCACTTTGGGGTTGTGCCTTCAGAAATGACCTGGAAGGGTCTGGGGGGACACTCTGAGCCCAACCAGTGTTGATTACAGCAGGGTTAAAGACTTGGCAAAGCTGTTGTACCCTGGTTTTATCCATTTTATCCTCATTGGGATGGTTTGGGGTGGARGGARCGWGTTTGGGGRTCTCAGGGCTGGGCTGGGCAGACAGAAATGCTCSGTTTTCCCTCTGAAAGAGGAATGTGTGCAATCCAAACCTCGCAGATGATGCTGGAGTGCAATCCTGGTGGTTATTCCAGCAGGGGAGCATGTTCTCTGTTTGCCCAGTCCCAGTTTGGGGCAATCAAAGGGAAATTGGAGTTCTCAGTGCATTTTGCTGCTCTGCAGCCCTGAAGGAGAAGGGGAAYGAGGCTTTCAGGAGAGGAGAATTTGCCGTGGCTGTGCAGAGATACACAGAGGGGCTGCAGAAACTGCGGGACAAACAGGAGCTCTACACCAACAGAGCCCAGGTCAGTTGGGTGTTGTTGTGCCAGGACAGAACCCAAACCYATTTTGTACCATCTGAGGGTGATTTTTCCACCCTGAGCTCCCATCTCCTCCCTCCTGAACGTGGTGGAACCATTCCAATTCAGTTTTATTTAAATACACTGATTATTTATGAATTCTTTCTAGGGATCCCTTCTAGARCTGCAGAATGAAATATTTGCTTTGCGTTCTCTGTTTGCCTTTTATAATCTGTGTGCMTGTGTGGAATTCCATTACATTTATTCCAAATTAGAAAATCCAAGGGGATGGCAGGCAAGAACCAGCTGGGAATTACCTTACAAAATCAATGGCCAGGCAAAATCAGCAGCTTAATTTGATTCTTTTTAATTAGCCAGTGTTTGTACAACAGCGAGCAGGAGCTGTTTGAAGYGTTCTAATTCTCCTGCCTGGCTTTATTTCAGGCCTACCTGAAGCTCCGTGAGTATGAGAAAGCCATCAGTGACTGTGAGTGGGCTTTAAAGGTAATTCCAGAATTGTCAAGTGGAAAAGAGCTCCAAGACCAACATTATTTACAGAAATTTTTGGAAACTCTGCTTTGCATCCTCACCCCAAGCCTGTGTTYCTTGCACTGGGGGTAATAATTCAGCATAAAAATGTTAGACACCTCTAATAAATTATATAAACACCCTCCTSGTTCCTTTGGGCAGCTCTAATTATTAACCTGAAAGCTGGAAAAAAATATTAAAAGGCTAAAAATTTCTAAACTCCTAACTAATAATTTTTCTTTTTAACTCAGTGCAATAGAAACTGTCTCAAAGCCTATTTCCTGATGGGGAAAGCTCACCTGGCACTGCAGCACTTCAGTGAGGTGAGTTAGGGCTGGAYTTTGTGACCATGGGACCACGATTTGTTCTGTCTTTGGTGGGTGAGAGGGAGAAAGTTTCATGCTATGCCTAGAAAAAGTTTCTRCTTTTTCACTGGAACTYTGARKTTTTGTTCCTTGTGTTTTACTGGAAAATTTCCTTTAAATTGGAGCAGCAGGCAGATGGAGGGACTGAGAATATCTTTCTTTTTTTGAGAGTTTTGACATCTGTGTCTCCATAAATTTATTAAGGATTGTGGCCTCAAAAAACCTTTGGGATCTGAGTGGGATATTACTGGTACCACCTTCCTATTTCCATCTGAAACTCTGAACCCTTTTCTTCTCCCCCTGAAGTCCAGGCAGTGCTATGAGAAGATGCTGCAAATCGATCCCCAGAAGGAAAACCTCTTTAAAGGTAAAAAATGGATATTTTTTTCCCTTCTGATGAAGAAGGAACTCAACAGGAACCATTTCCCTGCCGTGTTTTGTTGCTCTCTGAATTCCCAGAATGTGTGAACGAGGCAGAGCTGGAGGAGAAGAGGSTGAAGGATGAGGAGAGGGCAGCGAGAATGTTTGAGTCTGGGGATGTCACTGCTTTATCCATCCAGGAATTGCTGCAGAGGATCAACAGCCCTGAGCAGGATCTCCCCTACTACACAGGGGGTATCAGGCTGCTGGCAGAGCTGGTGAACAATTGTGAGTGTTTGAGGCAAAAGTTGTGAATTTTGGGGGTTGTACCCCATGCAGAGGAGTGCAAAGCAGCAGTTTGTAAAGGAGCAGAGTCACTGTCGCTGTGTTTAAAACACAAAACTGGCAGTGATGGATATTTCACTGTGGCCAGCAGGTATTTACAGTGTTTTTCACAATCAGACTGATGTTGTAGCTGAGCTGCTGAGAATTCTCAGGGATTTGGGGTTCATTTGTTTATAAATATTTGTAATTCTGTGTTTCAGCCTTCCTAAAGGAAGGAATTGTTCCTTAAAGGAAGGAATTGTTCCTTACAGCACCAGGCACGAATTGGAGCAATTTCCACCTTCCAAAGCTGCTCCTGCTCCACTCACTCCCGAATTTCCCCCATTTTCAGTGATGTTTTTCCCAAAGCTCTGATGCAGTGACCTTTTCTTTTAGCACTGCCCAGGAAGATCAGGAGCCTTCCTCCCATCCAGGTCCTGACTGTTTTATCTCTGCCTCTGCAGGCACTGAGCAAACATTTTTTCGGACAAACAAAGGCTTCAGTCTCCTGAGGAACGAGGCTGTCAGAGGGTAGGAGCTCTCCAGAGGGGCAGGGAGGGCTTCCAGCCACAGGAAATATTGGGAATATTGTTTTGGAGAAACAAAATCACCTCTTGAAATGCAGATGGATTGATCAGAGGAGAATGCAATGCCAGGTTTTGGTGTCAGAGCTGCCTCTGACACAAACAGGACTCTCTTGGATGCACTCAGGAGCATTCATTGAGTGCTGTTTGTGTCTCCTCTTTCTGGGCAGTTATCCTATCTCTCCTGGTGAGAGCAGCTTTGTAAAAAAAAATCAGAATAGAAAAGAACATTTGAAAGCTCTTGGTTGCTCTGGCTGCACCCCCAGCAGTGAATTTTTGGTGTTTATCTCTGTAATGGAGTTGAGCAGGAACATCCCTGTGTCCTGCAGCACTGGGACCTTGCAGGGGTCACCCTTATTTTGAAACACACCTGGGGGATGAAGAATTTTATTCCCCAACCATTTYCCACTGATTTGTTGTGTTCAGAGCTGACTTTGCTCACTCAGGGCCTTCTGTGCAGAGAGGAAAAGCGCTGCTGAGGTGGAGCTGTGTGTGTCCCTTCTGCTGCTGTGGCAGGCGGCCTGTGCTGGGAATGGTAAAGTTCTGAGATCCATAATCATTATTAATGTGTTAATTTAATTTATTTATGGGGTATTGCTGGGGCTGTGCATGGCCAACCTTCTCCCAGAGCACTTAGATCCATCCAGACCTGGCTGTGCCCCAATTTTCCAGCTCAGAGCAGATTCTGGGTGCATTTTGGGAGGATGAAATTCCCTCTCTGCATCCACAATCATCCCTATTAATGTATTAATTTAATTTATTAATGGGACATTACTGGGGATGGGCACCCTTCTCCCAGAGCACCTTGATCCATCCAGACCTGGCTCTACCCCAATTTTCCAGCTCAGAGCAGGTGCTGGGTACATTTTGGGAGGATGAAATCTCCACTCTGCTCCTTTCCTGATACTCCCATTTGTGCAGTTTCCCCTTTTTGAAGCAGTTACACCTGCAAAAAGCAGAGTTTTAAAGAAGAGCCAACGGAGGAGGCTGAACTCCCGTGGCATTAACAATTAACAGTCCCTGGGCATCATTAATAATTAAAAGCAACGATGGGGTTGCCAATGYGAGACGTTGCTCTGAGGTTTTCTCTCTTTTTCCAGAGGAAAATCAGCGTCTCCTGCTGGCCCAGCCCGAAGTGAGTGCTCAGCTGCCAGAGCTGCTTTCCTCTGGCACACCCCAAATCCAGAGAGAAACCTTGGCACTGATYTCCCTCTGCTCCGAGAACGAGAATGGGAGGAGGCTGCTGCTCAGGCAGGACCTGAGCAGGTGAGAAACCCCACAAAAATGTCCTGGAAGGATGGAAACCCCACAAAAAATATCCTGGAAGGCTTCAAACCCTACAAAAATGTCCTGGAAGGATGGAAACCCCACAAAAATGTCCTGGAAGTTCAGAGCTCAGAGCTCACTGCCCGAACTCCAGGGGGAAACTTTCTGAAAGGACACGGGGACAGTGAGGCTTCTGTCCTTGGGGACTAAATTTAGATGTGAGGGGTGGAACTGTAGGAAATGTTGGTGTCAAACAAAGCAGGAGGGCATTCCTGAGATTCTGAGGCACAGTGGCCTCCTGTAAACACGTGTGGCACTCGGGCTGAGCCAGCCCTGCTGCCTTTCTGGTGTCCAGCTGAGAGTCTCTCCTCATTTCAGAATTGCTATTTATGGATCTTTGGTGTTGCCATCACTCACTGAAGGGGGGGAGAAACAACACCCCATTCCCATCATCCCATTCCCATCATCCCATTCCCATCATCCCATTCCCATCATCCCATTCTCTTCATCCCATTTCCATTATCCCATTCCCATTATCCCATTCCCTTCATCCCATTCTCTTCATCCCATTCCCTTCTCCCATTCCCTTCATCCCATTCCCTTCATCCCATTCCCTTCATCCCATTCCCTTTATCCCTTTCCCTTCATCCCATTCCCTTCATCCCATTCCCTTCATCCCATTCCTTTTATCCCATTCCCTTCTCCCATTCCCCTCATCCCATTCCCTTCATCCCATTTTCCCACTGTTTCCTCCCAGATTTCACCACAGAAATGTCCATTCATAGGTTTGAAGCCATAATGGATGAACAGAACAAATTGTTTATTTTTCCAGGAAAAGGTTTAACCAGGAAAGGTTAAAGGAATGAACAATGTTTCAGAGGGTGCTTAAAAAAGGCAGATTTAACTCTGGCCTGAAATACCAACACCCTGAAAAAACCAGAATTTAGATCTTTGATAACTAAACCGAAGCTGAAACCAATTTTTGGTGGTTTTATTTTCATTTTTCCAACAGATGGCTGCAGATTTTGATGGCATTTGTCAAGAGCACCGATGCAAGGGCTGACAGTGCCATGAACATCCTGTCGGACTTAATGGGGGAGGAAAGGTAATTTAAATTCCTCRTTCATTCCTGCAAAGCTGTGCTTTGAATTGTACCAGATGAGCCTAAAACTTTGGGTTTTTTATCCCCCAACAGGTTCCAAGCCCAGTGTCGGGTCCTGTTCTCCACAGGAGTTTTRCCTTTATTCACCCAGCTGCTGGTAAGAAAGATTTTTTTTTTATATTTCCAGTTTGTTTTTGTGTAACACGTCCTGTGTCTGCTCTACAGGTGTAAGAAATTCAGTTTTGGTCAGGAAAATTCTCTTTTTCTCCAATATTTTGACCTACACATCCCTAGTTTAACATTCATTAAAAACTCTGGCCTTGGGTGGAGATTCCCACTGATAATTTCACCTTCAGGTTTGTGTTTTGCCCTTGCTGATGTGATTTTAATCCCATCAGCAGCTGGGATTGGTGACTTTGGTGACTTTTTCCTTCTGCTCTGAGGGGTCAGGGTGAGGAGATGACATTGGGTCCCCAAGAAAAGGCTTTTAGGGGTTCAGAGCCCTTTCCTGGGTCTCTTTTATTCCAACAGCAAATTTAAAAAGTGTTGGTGCAGAAACCCATCCTCAGGAAGAGGGAAAGTTGGTTCTGCTGCACGATGGCAGAGCTGGGGAGTGAAATATTCCCATTTCTCCAAAGGAGACAAAAATTCCATCCCTTTCCCATGGTTTGTTGCTCTTTCCTTCTGAACATCCCTTGCTGGAATTCCAGCTGTTCTGTGCCCTGAGGGAGTGGCTGTAGGAAATGCAATTGGGGAACACAAAATCCTTTGCCCCAGAGCTCCTAAAGCAGAAATTAGAAAGTTTTAGAACTTTAGAAAAGGAGGGTAGAACTTTAGAAAAGGAGGGAAAACTTTGTAAAAAGGAGGGAAATCTGCAAACCTTGGGCAGCTGGGATTTAGCAGAGAAATCCTGGAATGGTGTTTGATCTCAGGAAGCTGGGATTTAGCAGAGAAATCCTGGAATGGTGTTTGGGATTTACCAGAGAGATCCTGGAATGGTGTTTGACTTTGAACAGGGGATTTCCACGAGAAATCCTGGAATGGTGTTTGACCTCGGGCAGTTGAGATTTAGCAGAGAAATCCTGGAATGGTGTTTGACCTTGAACAGCTGGGATTTAGCAGAGAAATCCTGGAAGGGTGTTTGACTTTGAACAGCTGGGATTTAGCAGAGAAATCCTGGAATGGTGTTTGGGATTTACCAGAGAAATCGTGGCATGGTGTTTGACCTTGAACAGCTGGGATTTACCAGAGAAATCCTGGAATGGTGTTTGGCTTTGAACAGCTGGGATTTAGCAGAGAAATCCTGAAGTGGTGTTTGACTTTGAACAACTGGGATTTACCAGAGAGATCCTGGAATGGTGTTTGACCTGGGGCAGTTGGGATTTACCAGAGAAATCCTGGAATGGTGTTTGGGATTTACACGAGAAATCCTGGAATGGTGTTTGACCTTGAAGAGCTGGGATTTATGAGAGAAATCCTGGAATGGTGTTTGACCTCAGGCAGTTGGGATTTACCAGAGAGATCTTGGAATGGTGTTTGACCTGGGGCAGTTGGGATTTACCAGAGAAATCCTGGAATGGGGTTTGACCTGGGGCAGTTGGGATTTACCAGAGAAATCCT